TTTATGTTCTTTTGTGTGTCGGAGAAGAGTTGGGCTTAAAAGATGAAAATCTGTCTCTGTTAAAAACAAAGAGAAATTTTACTTTTATGTGCCACTTATTTTACCTCAGATGTCTGTGATTCCTTATTGATTTTGCCCCCTGAATGTGAATGCAATTTTCAGCACCAGCTGGGCTTTGTTGGAAATGGTATTGGGGACCCACGAGAAAAGTTCCTCATTTTAGTGGCTGAGATCATGGTGAGGTTTTTAGTATTTCCTTCTCTCAGGTGGGATCTGATGGCCTGAGGTGGCCTTGTCTCCTCAGGGATTTCATGCCCTGAGGAAGCAAAGGCTGATGGAATGTGCTTGACCCTCTCCTGTCTAATGGGGAGGAACAGCACCCAGCAGAGCTGGAATCACCTTCTCCATTCCTGATTTCTGCTGCCAACAGATCACTGGGCTCTCTCAGGGTCCAGAAGTCACTTTTCCTTTTGGATGGATGGCCTGAAGGCACCCAGGGGCTGCAGGCTGGGACAGCTTCAGAAATCCCTTTGGCTTGGAAGGATCCTTCTACCTGAGAGCTGAATGGGCTGTGCCAACCCCAGAGCGAGAGGGACTCAAGGCAACAGAATTAAAGGCTGGTGAGAGAACCCAAAGAATAGACTGTAACATGCAGAGCAGGTGAGAGAGAACCAAGGAAGATTGAAGACATCTGAAAAGTGGAGTCAAGCTTCCACCAGCTTGAAGGTTGTTTAACTAACACTTTGGGCAGGGAGTTTGAACTTTATCATTTATTGATGTAATTGTCCTGTTTTAATAGATGAGAATCACAAGCATCTCTTGAGGGGAAGTACACAGGGAACCATCAGAGGTATTGGGGCAGTTTTCTTAAGGACCAACAAGTAGAGTAAAACAAGAAATAGAGGACAAGACCAGGTTGGCCCCTGTGCTCACCACCAAGAAGATTCCATAGCCCTGCTGTGGGCAGCAATCCCATAGGCATGGCAAGGTGGGGGCAAGAAAGGCACCCCAGACCTCTGTCATTGCTCAGCTGTCTTTTAATACAACAGGAACCAGAAGGCAAGTTGGGCTCTGTACTCATCACTAAGATCCACCTGCTGTGAGTAGCAGCCCCATGGGCACGGTAGATGGGGGTAAAAAAGCCACACCAGACCTCAGTGATCCCATTTTGTCCATTCCAAATAGGTGTGGCTGAAAAAAAAAGTGAGATTTTGCCTTCTGTTCCCACTGTCCTCACCCACATCAACAGATGCTAGTATGATTCATTAATTTTTTTTTTTTGAGAAGAGCAGATTATCAGAATCAAAAATTAGAGCTAATTGTTTGAGACAAATGACACATAGGAAAAGAAAAGAGGGGTGTTTTTTTTGATGAATGTTGTGATGGTTGGCTCTCACAATTGACAGGCAGCTATTACAGGTATGTGAGGAGAAGTTTTGTAGATGTAGAGTGCTGTTACTGTAATATGTCCCCCCCTATTCCCCTTTCCCTCCCCCTTGCAGCAGCCTCCCCAGGGCATTTGGGGAGGGCCGGCTCATTACCAGGAGGGGCCACAGGACAACACCTGAGCTCCAATCAAGGTGTGAGGAAGTGATCTCCACCTGTGGAGGGCAGAGAAGGAGCTGACTGACAAAACTTTGGGAGGGGCTGAGGATATAAAAGGCAGGGCACCCATTTTGTAAATGAGCATGTGGCTGACAGTCACGGAGACCCTCCCCAGAGCTGCAATTTTTCCTTATTTAGTCTGTTGTATTTTTTTAAGGTAAAAAAACCTTTAAGAATTTAAAATTGAGGGTCATTTCTCACATCTTCCAAGGACAATCCAAAATTCTCACCTACAGGCCAGTTTGTGATGATTTCCAGGAGCCCAGGGTAATTTGGATTTGAGCTTGTTGTATAATGTTATTTATAACAAATATAGGCATTGGCTTCTACATTTATGTATTCGCATTTGTTTTGGAAGTTATTATGCATCACAAAAATCCTGATATAGTGCAATTTGTAATTACTGCTTTTGATACAGTATAATCTGTCAGTTTATCTATGCACCCTGTAGCTTTTATAAATCGTGGTGTAATAGATACTATCTTAGACCGTAGCATAATAGAGACTGAAATGTTGAAATTATTGTTTCATGTAATGTCTCTGTCCCTCTGGGAGCCTCTCAGGAAGTCCCCAGTCCCAGACACCGGGGGGGCAGCCCCGACCCGGCCGACAGTGGGGAGACACCCGAGGGTACTGAGGGCAGCTGGGCTGGTCACCTTTGCAGCAGAGGGGACACCAGAGACATCGGGAGAAGATAAAGGGCTGACTCTTAGCAGGGGTTAATCCAAGGTTTTATTCAGGGGCTCTGGGGAGCTCCTGCACCTCAGGGGGCTCCTGCTGAGAGCCCCGCGAGAGGGGCCAAGGTTACATTTAAAGGGAGGTGGAAACCAAAAGTAGATAACATTTTACTGACCAATGAGTGACCCTAAGGGATGGGTACTGGAGGATGCACATTTAGGACAGCGTACAAGACAAGGCTTGGGTCTTGGAAGGCCTCTGGCTGATCAGTCGACATCCTGGACCGAAGCTTCTACATGGAGGGGATGGGATGCTGAGTGATTGAAAAGAGCCAGAGTGGGGGTTTGGGGATGATCTCAGCCAGGGAGATGGATTACACAGGTAAAGGGAGGGGGGTACAATCTGGGATAAATCATTTGGGAAAAATACAGGGATACAACCAAAACTACTCCAAATTATTACAAAGTACAAAAACACACTACAACAACGTAAGTAACTCAGAAAATGGTGTAAAACAATTGATTTCTGTGGAGGATTTTATTAAGAGTTGGTTAGCTGAGAAAGGCCATACTGACATAATGCCACTGGTTAAGCTGAAAGAGGGAGATCAGCAGTCTCTGATTCAGTGACTGCTGACAGGCAAGAATGCCGGATGGCCTTGCTGCAACATGAGGAAAGGGAGGTGAGATTAGTCCTGAATATCTGCAGAATGTAACAGAAGAATAAGCACAAGAATGTAGAAGTAGGTGTAGTTGCTGATATGTAACTAACCAATCCTGAGCTCAACTTTTGCAATATGTATGAAGCTTATTAAGAACTATATTTAACCCGCCGTATTCGATCAATAAATTGGACTTGGATGAACCAACTGGTGTCTGGGTCTCCTTCCTCCGACAGATTTCCCACATTCAGGGACTTTCTTATCAGAAAGACAAGTTAACAGAAACAAAAACCATAGCATGGAACAAAAAGACTTTATGGACCCTCGTTGTCAGGGAGTGAAAATACAATAATATAGTACCCCAAGAAAAAAATTAAATATATTACTTTAAAGTACAAGATGGCCTGAACACAAGTCTATTAGAATATGGTAGCAAGGTCTGGCAGGCTGTTCTCCTCACCTGAACAGGACCCCATGGGCAGGAGGGGCTCCCCTATTCTCCTCTGGAAAATCGCTCACCAGAAAGGAGCAGCACTTTCCAGAGGCGCAGAGCGTTCCGCGAGACTTCTTGTGGGGTCAGTCCCAAAGTCTCTCTGGAGAGCGATGCAGCCAAAGACCTTCCAGTGGATGCTCAGATGCCTTAAAGTCTTCCCAAGTTCTGAGACTCCGAGAAGCTTTTTGGCGCTGCAGGGTGGATCAGCCGCACCAGTTGGGTGCCAAAACATTGGAATAGGATCCCAGTATTACCAGATGGAACGTGCCCGGGCTCGTCTGGCCCTTGCTGCTGGACCAAAGGCAGCAGCTGTGGTGTTTCACCTCAGAGACACCTTTGGCTGGCTGGATGTTGCAGATGGGCACTTGGGACAAGTCCAGGCAAGCAGGAACTCAGTATTACCTCTGGTGGAAGGTGAAGAGGAAAAGGAGATGGATTCTCCCGTAGGGTTTAATCCAGAGTTTTATTCCATGGTCACAGACCTCTGAATCTTGTAACAGCTACAACAGAATGCCAACTGCATGGTCTCAGTGTCCTTTTAAGCTCCGGGAGAAGGGGGAGGGAAGGGATAGGTGTGCCACCAACCAGGTGGGAAGGAGGGAGTCTCAGGGGACAATGACACTAAGACAGGCCAATGACCCCAGGGCTGAGAAGTATCTTTTGAACTTCTGCCAATCACAGCACGCCCTTGCTGGAAGGTTAAGCTGGACATACAGCACTCAGCAGGAGGCAAAGGGAGGGGAAGGGAGAAGGTATTGCCACACCAGGGAACGGATCAGGGATGGCTAAAACAGGAAATTGCAACACACTGCAACACAAATCAAAAGTTAAAAACAAACAAAACAAAGTGTAAATTCAAAGTAATGTCTGAATTCTGAAAAACTCGTATAAATATGCATGTAGCTCTAAAATATGGAAAACATAGTTTAAGTTAACTGTGTGCAAATAGCCAAGAATCCCAGGATGGGATTTTAACCCGTAATGAACTTTTCTAAAAAGAGTAAATACTGAGCCATGTTTCTCACATGTAATGAGGGCACTGCACTCACTGCAGGCAGCATCGGTGGCAGGATGGATTGCAGAGACTTTTCCTTTGCAGCCCCAGCCCAGCGCTGGCACTGGGCATGAAGAGGCACTGAGGTGACCCTGAGAGGAAGTGCAAGGCACAGGGTGCAGCTGAGGAAGGACAGCGCTGTGCTGGGCTCAGAGGTGAAGCTGGCACTGCCCAGCGTGGAGAAGGTCCTTTGTGCAGCCCCTGTCACTGGGGAGCTTGGGCCTTGCTGCAGACATACGGCCGCTCATTGGAGCAGTTCCCGCTCTTGAATCTCCTGTCAGCCAGGTACACACACTCGGAATTCCCATCGACAGGAACCCTGCAGGGAGGAGCAGAGGCAGCGCTGGCTGCCAGGGGAAGCCCTTGTGCCCCTGTGCCCCCAGGCCCTGCCCGGCTCCCCGGCACTCACCGGGAGCTGTAGCTGCTGCCGTCCCCCCAGTGCAGGCGCTCGCCCCGTCTGCGCAGCCCGAGCCAGAAGTCGACATTGTGGCAGAAGCGGAAGAGCAAATCCTGCCCAGGAGAGAGGAGTGGGAGCTGCCCCGGCCCCTCGGGGGGACACGTGCCCGGGGCTGCCCCCGCACGCCGGGGCTCCTTCCCTGCAAGGCCCCGGCCCAGGGCTGCAGCCCCGGCCCTGCGAGCACCGAGCCCGGCCCAGGAGCGCCCCCAGGCTGCCCTCAGCCACCCCACACCGCCCGCAGCCCCTCACTCACCATGGCCTCCTCATCCTGGGCAATGGCCAGGGAGGCATTGAGCTCGGAGCACCGTTCCTGACCCTGCTCCCACGTGCTGTAATCCCGTGAGAAGTAGTAGCAGACCCCATTGTAGCCAACCCAGTCATGGGGACAGCCCAGAACCAACAGCGGAGTCGCAGGTGTGACTGGAAGCTGTGGTGCTGCAGGGGGAAGAGGAGAAGCTCTGAGGATTCCCCTGTGCAGGGAGCAGGGAGCCCGCTCTGCCCCGAGGGGCTGGGCCCACGCTGCTGCCCCTCCCTTACCTGCCAGCACAGCCAAGGCCGCCCCCAAAGCCAGCACCAGCACCAGGAACAGCAGAATCAGCACCGCCGTGCCCACGGGATGGCACCTGAACCGTTCACCTGGAGCAGGAAAGAGCTGCTGGCTGCCAGAAGCAGAGCCGGCCCTGCAATCTGCTCAGCCCATGGCCAGGGAGCAGAGCAGGGAGCCCTGAGGCAGTGTGGGCCTCCCTCAGCTGGCAGCCAGAGAGCCAAGAGCCTGGCCACAGGCAGGGACACAGCTGTGGGCACAGGCAGGGACACAGCTGTGGGCACAGGCTGCAGCAGGAGAACTGCACAGCCTTGGGGGCAGCTGGGGCTCTTGCTTCCAGCCATGGATGGGGCCCAGCAGAGCACGAGGCCTCTTCCAGACATCGGGAAACGGCCACACACCTGCCAGCGCTGGCCTTGGGAGGGGACACGGGCCCCTGCCTAGAGCCCACAGGGGTGGCTCTGCATTCACCCAGGAATCTTCTGAGGCTCCTTTTGTGTTCATTGTTGGTTGCTGCTGTGTCCTGGGGAGCCAGGGGCTCCCTCACACTCCCATCCCTGGTGCAGAATCCATTCTCCACATCTGCACTCTCTGCACACTCACAAGTGGCATCCCCCCGCTTATGCCAAGAGGCTTCTTGGGCACCAGGCAAGTGTGAAAGCGCAGCTGCTGTTCCCTCCTAGAGATGCCGGGACTCATTGGCAACTCCACCCATGGAGAGGAGTTCACTCTTCTGCTCACAGGCGCCATCTCTCTAGACAGAAGAAACAGTACCTTGCTTTGGAGACATCAGGAGTGCTGCTGGCAGATCCTTTGGGAGCTCGGCCTCGGGAACAGCTTTGCAGCCGCGCTGATGGCACCCTGAAAGGGACACGGTGAGAGGTCGCTGCTGGTGCCGGCCGTGCGGGGGCTCAGGAGGGCGGTGGCAGCTGTGGCTGCGCTGTCGCCGCTGCCCAGAGGTGCGGCAGCAGGTGCGGAGACAAGCGCAGCCTCCGGGAGCTCTGCGGTGGCCGCAGCCGCGGCCCCTGTGGCTCTGCAGCCGCTGCAGCCCAGCTCCGTGCCGGGCCGGGCGCTGAGAGCGCCTGCGAGCTGCCGGCTGCTGCTGGCCCGGGGCAGCTGCGGCTCGGAGTCCGCCTGCCGAGGGGCGAGAAGCAGCAGCCCCGGGCTGCTCACCGTTGTGCCCCGCATGATTCCCTGCCCCGGCGCCTCGGAGCCCGGGCACAGCGAGCGCCGGCACGGCCGCTGCGGCTCCTGCCTGGGCACACGGAGCGGCTCCCGGCACAGAGCGCAGCCCGAGAAGCCTCGGCCCCGGAGCAGGCAGGATGCGCCGCTTGGTGCCCGCACTCGGCGCCTGCAGCGCTTTGGGCTCTGAGGCACTGGGTTCAAGTTCATGCCGTGCCAGCCCCGAGCCGGGCACGGACACCTCCCGCCCCAGCAGCGGCCCCGAGCCCGGTGCCGCACGGGCGGGAACGGTGCCGGGCACGGAGCAGCCGCCTCCGTCCTAGCGAGAGCAGCCGGGATGAGCCATCGCTGCCGCGGCACGGGCTCCATGCCGGCCATCCGGGCAAGGAGGAGAGCGCGGGCAGCCGCTCCCTCGGCTGCGATCCCAGCGCAGGGGGCACACGGGGGAAGCCGGCACCAGGAACTCGGCAGAACCCCCCGGCCCTCACCGCGGCCCCTCCGCCCGCAGCGAGCCCCGAGCTGGGGCAGCACCGACCGCGGTCCCACCTGGTCTGGAGCCGCCTCCGAGCCCCGCCGCCGCCTCGCCGGGCTTCGGGTGCCGCCGCTGCTCCGGAATGACCCGAACGCGCCGTCGCCGCTCCGGTCCCGGCCAGACACAGCGGGCACTGCCGGTGGTGCCGCGGGACGGACTCCGGGCGGCGGAGCCGATTGAGTCTTGTACTGCAGCGCAGCCCACCAGGCACTGGAGCTGACTCGGGCCGGTGCCGCGGGAAGAGCCGATGTGGGAGCGGCTTCTGACCAATCAGCGCGCGGGGCAGCAGCGAGGGGCGGTGACGAGAGGGAGACAGGGGAGCATCCAGCGGGGGGGGGGGGCAGGGCCGGGCGCGGCACAGGCACTGCCGGGGGCATCGCTCGCTGCCTGGCGGCGTTTGCCGTCCCCAGGGAGAAACTGAGCCCGGCCCGCAGCGCCAGCTCATCCTCACCCTTCCATTGCAATTGCTTTGTTATGAGTAGAAAAGTTGCCCATTTTTTAAAAAAGTGTCAGAGTTCACAGGTTTGTACAGTTGCTGCCAGGGTGGAGCTCTAACTGTTTGTTGTTATAATCACTTGTTGTTAATAGTTTTTCGCTAACTACCTGTTGTTGTTGGTTGGGAATTCCCCTTTTTGTTGAGTGGCACTGATGCTTCCTGGAGGATGGTACCCGGGACGGTGAAGAGGAGGGAACAGCGGGGTTGGCATGCAAATGAAGAAACCCATCGCCAAACCTAACAAAAACCCCTAAAAACAACGAGCCAACAGGGAACTGAGGGATCGAAGTGATGTCTAGATGTGAGGAACAGATTCCAGTGTCTGCTAAAGCCTTTTTACCCCTCACCCTAACCTGAGAGACTTGGCTGGACACAGGACCTCGAATGTCAAACCCAAAAACGGGAATCTCTTGGTGCTCTCATGAGGACAGAAGCCCCAGCTCTGACTGCAGACCAGCAGACAAAGCTGCGCTTTTCCTCCTCCTCCTCCTCCTCCTCCTCCTCCTCCTCCTCCTCCTCCTCGCCTTTCCTGGAAGCAGCAGGGCCGTGAGTGCGATCCTGTCGGTACTTCCCACCCGAGCTGATTTTTAATAAAGGCATTAAAAAAGGAGAAAGATCTCCTGCCTGTTTGCTTCAGCTTCAATAATTAAAACAAGGGAAAACTCCCCCTTGTCGCCAGTTCTAAGCCTTGAATCAAGGGGAGAACGGAGGTTCCCTCTCAATTTAGATCTCTAAATTATGCATAAGGATGGTCTCCCGTCAGTTTAATACCAAATAAAAAGTTAATCAGGGAATATTCCTCAATTTAGTCTCCTGAAAATAGGGGAAATGCAGTTTCCCTCTTCAATTTACCAAAGACCATTCTGGGGGCTTTTGCACATCTTTGTCATCTGTGAAGGTCTCTCCGAATGGAGGGTCCCCCTCGATGGAACTCTTACAGTGGCACATCCAGAGGTTCCTCTCAAGGGAAGCCCTTTCAGATCAGGGACAGCCGTGTTTGCTCCCAGTTTGAGCCTGAAGATGATGAAAATGGGGCTCTTTCCATCAATTCAAACAGCACCATAAAGGGTCTCTCCTTCCATTTCAACATGAAAATTATGGAAAATGGTGACTGCCTGCGTAGTGAGGTATCCAAAATAATGAAAAAACTGTGTTTTCCTTCAACTGACACCCTTCAAATCACAGGTCAATGGGGATCCCCCCAGTTCAGACACAATTACAGAAAAGCTTTCCCCCCTCCATTTCAATCCCATTTTTGGGGGCTCTGGGGAGGGACTGGGGGCACTTCCCCCTCCTCACTGCTCACCCCTGGGGCTGCTGCCCCTCGCACAGTGCTGAGCAGTTCCCTCCCAGTTCCCTGCCAGTTTCCCTCTGCCTGGCGAGCCCCGGCAGGGATGGGGAGAGCACTGGGCAGGAGCTGGGAGCGCTGTTCCTTCCCAGGGCTCCTGATATCCCTGCCAGTGCTCCTTCCTGCTCACTCCCGCTGCTCCCGCTCTCCCTCCCAGCTCCATCCTGGCATTCCCTGTGCTCCCAGTTCCCTCCCAGTGTTCCCAGGATCTCTCCCAGTGCTGCCAGCGGCAAAGCCCTGGGGGCACAGCGTGCTCTGCTCTTGCAGAGGCGAGACTGGAGCTGTCAGGAGAGCAAACCCGGCTGGAAGGAGCCCGGGCCGGTGGCGCCCGGCAGGGCTGGCCCGGGAGCGCCCGGGGGCTGCGGAGATTTCCCTGCAGGGCCGGCCTGGAGCCCACGGGCACAGGGGGAGCGCGCAGGGAGCTCGGTGCTGCTCGGGCTGCTGTGACAGGGGTGCAAGTGTTTCATTTGCTTCTGTTTTACGAGAAGAAGGCAAAGCTTCTTCTTTCTTTCTTCCCTCCATCCCCTTTTTCTTTCTTCTTCCTTTCTTCCTCCTTTCCTTTCCTTTCCTTTCCTTTCCTTTCCTTTCCTTTCCTTTCCTTTCCTTTCCTTTCCTTTCCTTTCCTTTCCTTTCCTTTCCTTTCCTTTCCTTTCCTTTCCTTTCCTTTCCTTTCCTTTCCTTTCCTTTCCTTTCCTCTGTCTTTCTTGACCTGTATTTACTCAGCACACGGCAGCTACAGAGTACAGATTCTGTGGTTGAGGCAATAACACCCTGAAAGAAGCAAGTCCGCAACTCTGCAAAGAGAACAGGAAAAGTAACAAAAATATCAAACACTCGCTCAGTGTGTGCTCTGTTTTTCCCCTCTCTTTTACCACTTCCTGCCTGCATGTCTCTCTTTCTCTGTGGTTGTTGATGTCATGCTGGAGCAATGTGAGAGCTGCCCCTCAGCATCCAGAGGCAGCTATTCCGTGGCTGTTCAGCTGCACAGCGCTGTTACTCCAGTGTGAGCCCACGCTGCCCTTTCCCTGCCCCTGCAGCAGCCCCAGCAGCCGGGGCACTGCGGGAAGGGCAGGCTGGGCACGGAGAGGCGCGGCTGGCACCGCCTGCCCTCCCGGCAAGGGGCACGAAAGCATCTTCACCGAGGGACAGCGAGCACGGCTGTCAGCACTGACAGACCTTGGGAGGGCCGGGGCTGCCTGTGCAGCGCCGAGGGCACCAAAGGGAGAGCAGCCACTTCTGTCACCGAGCTGCCAGGCTGCAAACCGCCGGGGATGCAGGGCTGGGCTCCCAGCGCTGCGGTTTTTCCTTATTCGGTCCTTTGCTGTAATTTTTGTCTAGGTTTAATAAACCTTTTAAAATTTTTAAAGACAGGGTCGTTTCTCACACGGATTTCCAATCTGCTCTTGTAGCAGCATACTGTCAGTAGTACTGAGGGTCATTACTGTGAGAGGACAGAGAGTTGGCAAAGCTTTGCGAAGCTTCTGCTCCTCTCTCCTCTCCCTGGAAAAGCCGAGTCTCACAGTGCAATGTAACCTCTGCTAATGCCTGAGGAAGTTTAGTTTGTGTCACTCATCTTGAAAATGTGACTGAGAAAATACCTGAGATACACTGTTAATTTCTTTAAGACTTTTCCTGAAATCGTTGGTTTCCAGTTGATTTTGATGCTGAAACCATTCACTGTAGCTACTCTGCACACAAAGAAACCTTTAGACATGTTTACTCTTACTGTCAGTATAACAGAATTTTCAGTAATTTCTGCAGTTTGCAATAGTAGTCCTAGGATTTGTGTGCATCAGTAATTGTTGTGGCTTGCAATAGGAGGAAAATTTCTGTTGAACCGCTGAGAAGCTGGACACGGCTCTGTGAAACACACAGGTTAAAGAGGAAAAAACCCAGGAACCTCCTCTTTCTTTCTTTCCCAGTGGGCGAGGAGGTGGCGGGCCCCGGGCAGCCCTGCCCCGGGTCGGACCCGTTCCCCCGGGCCGGGCCCTTCCCCCCATCGGCCCCGTTCTGTTCTGGCCGGGCCCAGCAGATCAGGGCAGGAACGGGAGGAAGCTGCAGAGACCACAAAGGAGCAGGGCTGGCCGCGGCTGTGAGATCTCATCAGGAAATCCCCTCGCCCACCACCGATGAGACGGAAACCCCTCAGTGGGAAGGTCCCTTTCAGGCGCTGCACAGCCCTGAATGGGCTGTGCCAACCACAGGGTGAGACTCAGACCAACTGAAAAAGTCTGGTGAGAGAACCCAAATAATAGACTGTAACATCCAGAGCAGGTGAGAGAGAAGCAAAGCAGCTCAAAGAAGTCCAGAAAATGGAGTCCAGCTTCCACCAGCTTGAAGATTAACCAGTGCTTTGGGGAGTTTGAACTTTATCGTTTCTTGGTGCAATTGTCCTGTTTTAATAGATGAGAATTACAAGCATCTGTTGAGGGAACCATCAGAGGTATTGGGGCAGTTCCCTTAAGGACCAACAAGCAGAGTGAAACAAGAAATAGAGGGCAAGACCAGGTTGGCCCCTGTGTTCACCACCGAGAAGATTCCATAGCCCGGCTGTGGGCAGCAATCCCATAGGCATGGCAAGGTGGGGGCAAGAAAGGCACCCCAGACCTCTGTCATTGCTCAGCTGTCTTTTAATACAACAGGGACCAGAAGGCAAGACTGAGTTGGCCTCTGTACTCACCATTAAGATCCACCTGCTGTGAGTAGCAGCCCCATGGGCATGGTAGATGGGGTAAAAAAGCCAAACCAGACCTCAGTGATCCCATTTTGTCCATTCCAAATAGGTGTGGCTAAAAAAAAACTGAGATGTTTTCCTTCTGTTCCCACTGTCCTTGCCAACATCAACAGATACTAGTATGATTCATTAAAATTTTTTTTGAGAGATTATCAGAATTTAAAATGGTGGTTAATTCTTCAAGCCAAATGACTCATAGGAAAAGAGGGTTTTTAAATAGATGAACATTGTGATGGTTGGCTCTCACAATTGAGAGACAGATATTAGGTGTATGTTTGGAGAAGTTTTGTAGATGAATAGTGCTGTTACTGTAATGTGTCCTCCCCTATTCCCCTTTCCCTCCCCCTTGTAGCAGCCTCAGTTCTCAGGGCATTTGGGGAGGGCCGGCTCATTACCAGGAGGGACCACAGGACAACACCTGAGCTCCAATCAAGGTGGAGGAAGTGATCCCCACCTGTGGGGGGCAGAGAAGGAACTGACTGACAAAGCTTTGGGAGGGGGTGAGGGTATAAAAGGCAGAGCATCCATTTTGTAAACGAGCACAGGGCTGCTTGTGTTCCAAAGCACTCCCAGAGCCTTAATTTTTCCTTATTTAGTCTGTTGTATTTTTTTTAAGGTTAAAAAAACCTTTAAGATCTTAAAAGTGAGGGTTGTTTCTTACATCTTCCAAGGACAGTCCAGAAGTGTCACCTTCAGGACAGTTTGTGATGATGTCTGGGAGCCCAGGGTGATTTGGATTTCCCATTTGAGCTTGTTGTAGAATGTTAGAAATAACAAATATAGGTATTGGCTTTTGCATTTATGTACTAACTTTTGTTTTGCAAGTCAGTATTTGTGAAAAATCACTTGTTTTTAAAACTTTTAAAA